TGTAAAAAAAAACAAAAAGAGGAGGCGGGGAGCCCGATTCAGATAAAGCCGGAGATAAAGTTCATTTCATTTCAAACCTTTATTTTAGACAGATTGGTCCCTTGCAGATCCATCGATCTATTTACAAGGGAGACCTGCATCATTTAGTTCCACTGAAACCATAAAAACAACACACAACAACAATACAACGAGAGGATTATCATATTTACATATTCAACATTTTACAAAGTTACCCCAGAGTGTCAGAAACATTCATTTAGAGTTCTTAAATACATTCAGAGAAAAAAAATGCTCAATTTCAATTTTGCTGTTGACTGTTCTCAAGCAAGTGGAGCTGCGCAGCATAAAAGCTGTCTACCTAAGACAGTCCTTACTCTTGGGCACATCTAACAAGACTATATCCTGCCGATCGCAGACAATAGCTGCTTGCAACTTTCTGCTTTATCAATGAACAGATATAATACGGAGGTTTTTGCCCAACATATTTATAGATTAAAAGCTTGTTCGTGTACCAGTGACTGCAGCCCCGTACAGTAAGTGATGGGTAAACCTGCCTTGGGTGTACAGTCATGAGTAAGGCTTTTACTAAATTTGGTGAACAAATCTCAGAGCACTATGATACGCAGCATCTTAGTTTGTTCAGGTAGTTGGCAGGTGCATTCTATACATCAGCACAGGTTAAAAAAGGTCACAGGTGACTAGCCCTGGGCCCGTGCCCTCAAGCGAGAAAGCCAGACTTTATTCCTGGAAAAAGAAGCCTAGCCTAACCCTCAGTTTTTTAAGCAGTTATTGACATGAATAGTTTAAAAGAGAGACAGTCATTCAAGCAAGATATCCAAGGTATTTGTAACAGGCAACAACTCAAGTTTTGGTTCCTTGCGTTGATACAATATCTAAAAGTTAAATGTCTACTGTGATAAAACGCCATTCCTGTTCTAAACCCACATCAAAGATTATTTCTGAAACAGTATGGAGCTCAAATGCTTTTTCTCTGGGCGGGGTTTAGAGTTCCTTTTTTTTATTTCCTGCTTTTTAAACACATGTTGCTCTACATTACAGGTTAGCCTCTGAGTGTTTAGTTAGGGCATTGCTATGTAAACAAAGACGAGAATTACGTTCCAAAACACTGTCAGGATTGTTTCTGATGGCAACTTTCTGTGGGTCGCCGCCAATTGACGTCATATCGGCACAAATCCGTATCCGCTCGTTGACCTTCGTTTTTAAAAGATTTGGGTACGGAGAAAAGAGAGGTTTTATTTTCTGACGGCTTGCATGGTTCCCCGGACACAACCGGGGACACATGTTTATGTATAAAAGACATTACAAAGTGCATTTTGCATGATAGGTCCCATTTAAGTATATTTTTGATGTATTTATATTACTATTTCAATTTAAGTTAGTATTTCCATTTTTTGACACTTTGTACTTCTACCCCACTACAATTCAGAGCTTAATGGTGTACTTTTACTCTTTTTAATGATGTGAAATATAATCAAGTGTTAAATCAGACTTTAGTTCCACCTGGAGTAAATCCACAAGCTACCCTGCAGTATACAAAGTCATTCAAACTAGCTGCACCTTTACCAGCTTTGAGAACACTTTCATGATCAATCATTATAAAACATATCATATATATTATTCTGAAATGGACTAATCTGCACAATGACTACTTTTACTGTCGCTACTTTCACTATATTTTGATGATAATACTTTTCTACTTTTACTTGAGGAACATTTTGAATGCAGGACTTTTACTGTAACAGAGTATTCCTACACTCTGGTATTTCTACTTTTACTCAAGTACAAGATCTGAGTACTTCTACTTTTACTCAAGTACAAGATCTGAGTACTTCTCCCACCTCTGATTATACAGTAATTTCCATTAAACCCATTAAGTTTCTAGTATGTTGTCTGATGCCATGTTTATGGTTCGCTGTGTCTCTTGATGATGAAGCTCTATCCACTGTCTTCTACCTAACATCCGTGGGATATCACTGCTGAATACTTACACCGTAAAAGGAAGCATGTTATAGTCTCGGTTGGAATGCAATTCACTTTTCTCTGGGCTACCAAAATCAACAACCGCCAAACTACAACTGGTGCAAAACACAGCTGCCAGAATATTAACCAGAACCAGGAAATGTGATCACATCACCCTTGTTCTCATTTCATTGGCTCCCGATTCACATAAGATCTGACTTCAAGATTTTACTATAAACCTTTAAAATCTTACATGGACTAGCACCTCCATATCTATCATCATTAATTATCTCGCGATTATCTACCAGGCTCCCACAATCCCATAATGCAAGTCTCCTTTCAATCCCCAGAATTTAAAAATCACCCATGGGTGGCAGAGCCTTTTTCTTCCGAGCACCTCTCCTTTGGAATCGTCTACCATTTCAGATCCGCAAAGCTATTTCCGTTGATTCCTTCAAAAGCAAACTCAAAACCCATCTATTCGCATCTGTCTTCCTTGGAAAATAATTTCCATCACCTAGTTTCCATTCAACATTACCATCACTTCAGTCAGATGCTGTTATCACATGGCAATACTTATGTTGATGTATAATGTTGTATAATGTTTTTATAATTTTTATGCTATGACGTTTGTATTTAGTTTTTATCAAGCACAAGTACAGGCACGAGCAAAAAATAGGACTCAACAGCACAATCAGGCAAAAGGGTCTTTAGTCAAGCGTTTAATCCAAAAGTTAAAAATAAAACAGGCAATGATCAAAAAATGTACTGACTGGAAGCAACGAAAAACAACCAACTAAGTTGGCGGAAAACTACTAAAGAAGCAACAAAAAAACAACCAACTAGGTTGGTACAAATGCTAAGCAGCTAGAACAATAGCTTACGTCAGGAGAGTAACATGGAGCACTCTCTGCTATACAGACAAGACGAACTGGCAATGACCAAGGAAACAGCACAGACTAAATACACATGTGAGGAGTGATGATTAGGGACAGCTGAGGCTCATTGAGGCCAGGCAGGTGATTAACAGGGAGCGCAAATACACAGGTGAGGGAGTGAGGCGATCAGCCAGGGCCAGGATGTGACAGTTTTTTGTCTTTGCTTTGTACAGCCCTTTAAGGCATTTCTTGTGATTTGTGGCTATAATATATTTTGATTTGATATAAATATATATATATATATAATAGTTCCATCTTTTTGTGTCCAACATCCACCTGTCTCTGTGTTTCCAGGCTTTAGACCTCACTATCGCCAAAGATGAACGTCTCGCTGTCGGCTTCTTCCAGAGAGCAGCAGTGATGATGCAGATTGACAGGTAGGTTGATTTTATTTTTGATTATCAGAGCAATCTGTTCCAAATACTGACCATGTATACTCTTGTAATTTTGAGAAAAGAGGGAAACATGTGTGAATTTAGAAAGAGGTGCTCTTATCTTGACTGTAGATGCAGCTGGTTATCTGAGCTCAGCATTGTGACTGAAACAGAGGAAAATAGTGAGCCAGGATGTGTCCACAGGTGACAACATCTACCAAGCAGCACTTCAAAGCTCATTATCAACATGTATGTCACACATGTTGTTCTGGGCGTACATGAGCTCAACTATTTCTTGGCAGTCACTTCCTGGAGACCTTTCATCATTGTGAGGTTGCCAGGCAACCAGTGGAGAACAAATTGATGTGTGTGACAAAGAAAAAGTCTGACCCACAACACCCCTGTAAAACCAGCATGTTTTTTTTGTAAAGCTTTTGTTGATGCCACATTTAGAAAATGAACTCTTATTCCCTGAATGTTGGTCTGTTTGCTGTCTGCTCAGGTTGGAGGAAGCTCTGTCTGACTGTATCTGGGCACAGAAGCACATGAGAGGAAACACGGTCATCGACTACAGGCAGCTGGGACTGAGATTCAAACTGTACAGCTGGCAGGTCTGACATTCAGCCTCACACTCGCACACACTGCAACACACACCTGCACTAATACAGGGAAGCATGAGACTCCAGTATGCTTCTTCTGACACATTACAATAGAATATAAAGGAAATCCAATCCTATGTCTATCACCACTGAGGAATGAACACAGTGCCAAATGTGCTATGTCATTACCTCCATTGTTTATTTCAAACATCCCATTCACCTGGATGCTAACAACAAAGCCTCATTGATGGAGGTTACACAACATCACATATTTCTCACAGTGCAGATAAGACATGCTCTAGCTTCAACAGACAGTGCAGCTGCCGGTAACAGATAACATGTTTAAAGCCAAGGTTTAAAAGCAATGTGCCCATTGGTTTGCGGAATTCCAACAGACAGTCAGTGTCATCCACCCCTGATCAGAGGTGGGAGAAGTACTCAGATCTTGTACTTAAGTAAAAGTAGAAGTGTCAGAGTGTAGGAATACTCTGTTACAGTAAAAGTCCTGCATTCAAAATGTTACTCAAGTAAAAGTAGAACAAGTATTAGCATCAAAATATAGTTAAATTAGCGACAGTAAAAGTAGTCATTGTGCAGATTGGTCCATTTCAGAATAATATATATGATATGTTTTATAATGATTGATCATGAAAGTGTTCTCAAAGCTGGTAAAGGTGCAGCTAGTTTGAATGGCTTTGTATACTGCAGGGTAGCTTGTGGATTTACTCCAGGTGGAACTAAAGTCTGATTTAACACTTGATTATATTTCACATCATTCATCCATATCTGTAAAGTAACTAAATGTATTAAATAAAGGTAGTGGAGTAAAAGTACACTATTTACCTCTGAAAGCTAGTGGAGTAGCATTACATGAAAATACACAAGTAAAGTACAAGTATCTCAAAATTGTACATTGTAAATCTCATTTGCATCATCAGTGTCGCTGATCATTTTTATTTATTTTTCTCATGAGGTAGAAGTAGGTGGCGGCTGTTTGTGGCGGCTGTTTGTAAGACAGAAGAATTATATACATCTGTTTGTGACAGTATCAAACTAGCCTAATCAGAACAGGGCCTTAAAGTGGGGAGCCAAGGGCCCCTTCCCGACTGACTACCCCGCTTAGTGCCTCTGATTGAAAGGCACAGCTTTAAAAATCTATCAGGTGTTTTTAAGTGAAAAGGCTCAAGTCGTGAGCAGCTGGTAGTCCAAGTCGAGTTGCCAGTGTTTGAGGCTGACTTCTAAGTCCTGTGATGTCATCATCTTTGGGGCTGCAAATTAAACCACAAACAAGATTCAACTTTTAAATGAACGCAGGGACAAAAAGATGTGCAGAGAGTACACACAACATTAATTGTGTGTACAGTCTGTACATTAACCTCTTTGAAAGGAATAATCACAGTCTCACAATCCACTCCAGTGGCCAAAGTGGTATGAATACCAGAGGTGGAAATGTAGTTTTTAGCTTAAACAATCCTAACCTATCCTGCCTGTCTGCAAACGGTCATATCAAACTGCCTTTTCTCTGAATCCAGCCCAACATCCCTTTTCAAAAGGAAATACTACCGGCTGGTCCCAGCATGTATAATTTTGACGTGTCCCCTAGGTGTTGTATAATGCAGCAGCTGTGTACTGTCGGATGGGCCAATGGGAGCAGGCCAGGGAGGTTCTGCTGTCAGCCTCCCAGGAGAGAGGAGGAGTTCGGGGGGGAAACATAGAGGCGGCTTTGGACAGCGTCCTGGTGAGTGTCACAACTTTAGAGAGGGACTTCAGGGACACATTGCCAGTGTTTACATTTGTTTCTGCCATTGCCATAGTTGACATCCTAGCAAGGATAGAAAGACACATTTGGAAACTTCCTGGAACACAGTCGATCTGAGGCTGTGCTACATTTGGTTGTGCTGGTGTTTCAGGTGCGTGGCAGCAGGGACAGTCAAGGGATGAATTATAACAAATGTTCATGGAATATTTTGTTTTAACATGAATGACTTTATAGGAAGTAAAGGGGTGGTTTGATTGTCTTTTCAAGGTTATTTATACCTTCATGGCAAAGGGTAACACAATGGTTATTCTAATACCATTTTTTACCTGTTTCGCAAAACAATGACAGTGTTCATAGATGACTCCAATCCGGGAAATAAAAATGTACTGCTCCTTTTAGGGACTTTCTTGATATTCTATTTGAGAACCCACTGGGGTAAATCAAACATTGTCATTTGAACGCTTTGCTCTGGCCTTGATAACAGAGGGAGGAGGTCCTGGCTCCTCTGCTGGTGCCTGACAACGTGGTGTTTCGTCCCAGGAAACAGGATGTGGAGCAGCTGCAGCAAAGAGACTTCCTGGGCAAAGCAAAGGTAGAGTTGGTGAATGTTGTATTATGGGGGTATAGTAATCACAGTCTTCTATAGTAATATATACTTTAATGAGCTTCCAACCTGCTCCTGTCACTTACACTGAGAGATGCTCTGCTTTCAGGTGATTTCATCCATGATTCCCAATGATGACTTTGGAGGCTTTGAACCTCTGAGGCTGCAGGTAAGAATCAGTACAGTGTCAGTATAAATGAAGATGATGTTGTCAATCACTCTCTTTGCCAACTATCACTCTGTCTTCACCACAGAAACCTGGTTTCTATGAGCCCAAGGTGGATGGAGCTCAGTGAGTATTATCTTGTGTAGGGATGGGTATGGTTAGGATTTTATCGATACCGATAGGCCTACTACTTATCGATACCGATATTTTTCGATACTCTTATTGATACTTTTCAATAATTTGGTTCTCAAAATTATAGACATGATTACAAGATGTGAAGATTAAACTAAAGACATTTTATTGTAATTTATTTTTATTTAATGTAACTTTTTCAATTTCATACCAAGCAGGTATGAGTGTGTTTGACAGTGTGTCTCTGGAAGGTGGGCAGTGGGGCAGTTCATCAATCCATGTAAACATGACCATTATTCAGTTAAAACGAGACGCTGCGTGTGCACCTCCTAAACCGTAAGCTCCGGTCGGCTAACCATTATAATCTGTTTATTGCGTTTATTATTTATAATTGTAATGATGGATTATCAGTAATCATTTTAAAGTTACACAGAGACATTGGATTAACCGATAAAATGACGTAGAAAAGATTGCTTTTGCCAGATACAGTGATGCAAACACAGGTATGGTGAAAAAAGAGAGAACTATTCGAAGCAGGAAAAAAACAGCGTAATATACCATCTGACAAAGGCCTGTGCTATAATGCTTCAATTAACTGGCTATTTTTTATAATATACTCAGATCAATAGGAGACAGAGATGTTATAAATCAAGGATTTTTATTATTATTTACAGCAGGGGTGGGGAACCTTTTTCCTTTCAATTTTTACAAAATCCTCCGAGGGCCGTACAAATGATTGAACTCAACCTCTGCTTAAAAAAACTAAAATCACAGACTATTCATTTGGCCTTTCTTTCATGTTGTACAAAGAAAACCAACCTCTTAATCCAGATATTTTTACTATGACTTGTGCATGCATGCACAGTTGTGGCATGTCCACCAAAACAGAAAGATGTGTGCAAATGTACTTAGTATCCTATCCATGTGAACATGATTTAAGTGGGGGGGGGACCTAACCTCCTCTAGGGGGGTCCGGGGGGCATGCTCCCCCGGGAAGATTTTTTTTTTAAATATTGAAGTTAAAAGCATCAATCTGGTGCATTTTGAGAGCAACATTAGGGGCTATGGATACATCTCAACACCCATATAAAACAGAACCGTAAGCAGATTCTTCTTTTGGGATATTTTACAAATCACTCCCCTTTTAAACTCTATTCTTGTTATTGTTAACAACTTTTTTGTTACTCTCATATAGTATTTTATACCTGTTTTTCATTTATTTTAATGTCTCATTAATAATTATAATGATCATATCAAGGTGTGCCTTAACCTCACTGAGCTGAGGTTATTTGAGCCTCTCAGGAGAGAGCTCTCTTCCACCTGGTTGTAGAAAAGCTCTTTAAATTCGTTAGCATAGCTAGCTAATCAGATGCTAATAACAACAGATCGCCACTGTGCTTACAACTAAAGACACAACCACGCAAACACTGCGTCATGTGTACGGCTCCTTATGGGTACTGCAATATTTGAAGAGCTGGAGCGTCGTTCCGGTGCTCTCCGTAAGCACTCTAGTCTAGTCTACACTCCTTTCAGACGAGACATAACCACGTGAAGACACGTTACGCTCGTGTTGTGTTCAAGAAACCTGTCCTTGGCCAGGAAAAACAGGCACTCGTTTGTTTAATTATTTTGCGATCTAGATTTCTTCTTCTTTTTTGAAGTGAGAAGTTGTCCGTCAGTCGGATGGACTAACGGACGGACCCCCCTCCCCCCCAAAAAACGAAAACTCTTCGGTTCTCCACGAATTACACAAGTCACCCAAAGCAGCGTTAAAAAAGCGGGAGGCGCCGAAAAGCGACTAATTTGCATCACTGCAGATATGTGCTAAAGTAGCCGTTAGCCCCGTTAGCCCGTTTTTCTAAGTGTTGATTTAGACTCTTGGTGTTGGACTTCTGTTCCGTCCGTAAAATGGTTAAAATCGTCTGTTAGCTGAGTTTTTTCCGTTAAGTGGGTATGCATCATTAATAGGTTGTTAAATGTTAAGAAGCCTTGAGACGCTGTTTCTAGCAAGATGTTGCGTCTGCCCCTATGGTCTGCCCCCGGGAGTCTCACAATAATAAGACCGCTGTTAGGAGAGATGACGAGTGGCATTCACAGTGGCCAATCAGAGTGGTACTCAAACTGGATACGTCATACGGGATGAAGGTTCCCAACCAACCAGAATTGTTTAAACTAAGGAAGTAGCGTAATTCATAAACCGATCGCAGCCCCGTTTGTCGACTGGCTTAACGGTACCAACCAACACCGTCAATCAGGTACCGGTACTGACTTAGTACCGGTTCTCGATACCCATCCCTAATCTTGTGACATCCAAGTAGTAACCTGAGCTTTTAAACAACCAATACTGTACAAATGTTTGTTGATGGTAAGTATGACAGATTTTCTTTTTAATTTCCCAGGGATTCTCGATACATGCGTATGCGAGTTCCTTACATGGCCCGAGGGCCTCAAGAGCTAACGGTGCCGGGGGGGGCCATGGTGTTTTTATTTGGCGAGGAAGACAGGGATGGGATGGCAACTGTCATATATGATGGACAGGTAAGAATAGAGAATACATCGTATAGCTAAATACTGCAGAGGTGGTGGCAATTTGTAATGATGTGTTTGATGATGATAACTGAAGCATTTTACAAATAAATCATGATTTTAGGCTGTGATGTTCAATAAAAGGTGTGTACTTGGTCAGAAATCTAAATCAACATCCAAAGAAAGGTTTGATTTACCACCATTTTTCAATTTAAATAATTTTGTTCTATTAAATGTATGAAGGCATTTGTAATTCTGTAAGTTACAAGCCCCTTGAGGTCTGATCTGACAAGGATAGAAAGACATTGAGGGAAAGCCAGTTGGTGTAATATAGGTTATGGTTTGGGCTGGTGAAAACCCTGCATAATCCTGTGCTTTGTTGTCTTCTGTATTTCAGCCTCATATAATATTTCATGTATTCTCAGATTTTTTTGGCCCTTTGTTTTCAGAGAGGACTTCTTCCAATGTCTCTGCTCGATCCTGCCGATGTCAAGACGTCAAAAGGCAAAATGGAGAATGTAAAGTATTGTAATAATATATTAATAAACGTTATGATCCTCTGGCCAAAATGTTTTAACGGTCACTTATTATATAAAGTGCACTTTTTGATTGATTGATTGATTGATTGATTGATCCAGATTTGCTAGACAGTACTAACATGTGGGCTGGCTTTACATTGAACTTCTGGCAACTTCCCGCCCACCCAACCTTCAGACACATGTTTTTTATAACTGAGACCTATAATATATGCCTACAAATAGTATAATAGGAGACCTTTAAGCTCATGTTAGTGTAGACCTTTACTGGCAGCACTTCCCAATTTGCAGGAGTTAGACTCATGCTGAACAGAGTATTCTCTTCTTCATGTGAGACCAGGCAGCAAAATGTTATTTTAGGATAAATACATTTAAAAGTAAAGGACTACAGTTTGCTCTTCAGCGAGAACAGTTTGTAGATCACTGTGTTTGTTTCAACAACAAATACAAGTGTCCTGCGTGTTCCACCATTAGATAATACATTCTATATCACTGACTTCTTCCACAGAGAGTTCCCAGTGGGATCCCTCTCCCACCGGGACTGAAGCCCCCGACCCGCCCAAAGGCCCAGCCCAGCCCTGCAGCTCCTCCTCGAGGTAAAACACCAACAACACTCCTCTGTTTTATCTAAAATTCTCATGTCTCAAAGGGAGGACCGCCTGCCACATCATTCCTGCTCTGCTTTTAACATGTGCTTCTCCGTTATTACAGTTCATTCAAGGGTCAGAGCAGCATTCTAACATACAGTCTCAGGACTCTACCTGAATCTGCTCTCTCGTTGGTTGTCTTTACATGTTGTAATAGACAACGTTTTTTCCCTTAAAAAAAAGGTTCTAATTTCAGCAAAAAAGAGAGAGTACTGAGACTGTATTAGAGTTTAGTTAGAAGTCAATATTTGTATTATGAATTGACTATACAACATACACTATTTTAGCTGTGGCTGTGAGGGAGTGCGGTCGTCTTTCAACCAGAAGGTTGTGGGTTCGATCCCAGCCCATGCAGTCAACATGTCGATGTATCCTTGGGCAAGATACTTAACCCTGAGTTTCTCCCGATGGCATGGCCAACGGTGTGTGAATGTGTGTGAATGTTAGGTCCTAGAGTAAGGTACACTGCTCTGTATGAATGGGTGTGAATGGGTGAATGACATGTAGTATGTAAAGCGCTTTGAGGGGTCTTAAAGACTGGATAAAGCGCTATATAAGTACAGTCCATTTACCATTTACACTATTTTATTTATTGAATTGTTTGCCTAACTGTTTACCATGAACGTTGTGCATGTTCAGCGGTCCTGCTGTGCACTAAAAGACTAAAAGTCAGTTGTTCTATAAGCATCGGATGTAGCAACAAGATGCTACAAGATTTGTTTCATCACGCAAAAAGGCAAGGTGAACCATAGCATGTGTTTATACATTTTTTCAATCAAGACATCCAGGTTAGGTTTTAGGTCCATAACAATTGTTGCTAGCTATGAATGTGGTCTCAATGGTTGTCAGTTATGATTGACTAGCCTTTGATGCTAATGCTTAGCTACCACATCCCTCCCAGTGTGACAGGACTGAATCTGAGCGAGTCTAGAATAGCCTTGAAATAATTACTTTGAATGGGCACAATGGTTTAAGCATACTATAAATAAACTACTATACTCAGTAACCAGTAGTAATACAATTGATGCATATACTGTATCTAGTAAAGCAACTGACCACTTTTATTTTGGTCAACTTTGCACACAATATATTTGTAATACATTAAAAACATTTTTTTCTGAGCACATTGATGCTTCTTAACACACAAGAAAACAGGATTATTTTCACAATGTCAAGATTACTGGTTGGTATCAATTTAGGTGCATTATTATGGCTTTTATAATATTTTACCAACCAAGTTGTAAGATGTTGGAAGATATTCATGTTACAAAAATAAGTCTGACAGGCCACAAAACATCAAGAAGTAATAAGACATGTTGGAAATAAACCAAGTTTATCCGGATTTGCAGGCCACTGTATTCAGTTGTAAAACTGTGGATGTTGTTTGAGTTTGCAAATTCAGAAGGTGTTCTGATTGTGACAGCGATATTTTTAAAGGATTGTTGTAGAAAACACACATAGTATTTGTATTCACATGGGAGTATGTGTAATAAAATAGAGACCATCTTGTGATGTGATCACAACAGCCTAATGCTAATTCAACTGTAATGTATTCAGACTGTAATTGTACCTGTACTGTGTTTTCCTGCAGTGAGTTTTTCCTCAGACACTCCACCTCCATCCTACTCCACTGCCACCCGTGCACCGGCCTCAGCCTCAGAGCCCCCCCAGTACACGGACAACCCAACCAGAAACCAGGTAATATTCCCCTGTGAAACACTACATTCAGAGCGGTGAGACGGATCACATCAAAGTTATGTTCTTTGCACATTCAGCTTATGAGAGACACACACACACACACACACACACACACACACACACACACACACACACACACACACACACACACACACACACACACACACACACACACACACACACA